AAACCAGCAAGATTGGTTTCAATTTCAGATTCTGCAGCTGGCTGCCCAGAGGGGCTAGGCGTGGACCCAAGGGTGTCTGGCTGGAAAGTCCTGTGCTCACACCACTTGGGCGCAGTCACAGGCTGTGTCTCCCCCACTCAAGAGCACCGAGGCCTCCTCAATCAGTCATATGGGAAGGAATTCTTGTAAAAATTCTTCTCACTAAGAATGTCTTCAACTGGACATGCTGGTACATCAAAACCTCAACTCCCAGCCATGAATCCAACCCTTAGGGTCCTGGTGATAGAAGCCAGATGGCAGCTCAGAAATGTAGGCAGGGTGTCCACGGCCTCAGGTTGCTCAGTGTTTACTAGCACCTCTGTGAGCAGCGCTGAAATTTCTACTGGACACATGTTGGGAAATTTACAAGGGAATGATAAACATGGAATTTAGGATGGTGGTCGTGATGAGGTAGGGAGGAGGGGAAGAAAGGAATGTGACGGGAGGCATGCAGCAGGCTTTCGTGGTATTGATAATTCCCTTTTAAAAGGCTAGGTGGTAGGTGTGTGGTTATGTGTTTTATCATTGTATATAATTACACATTTAAAAAGGGAGGTAGGGAGAAAAGAAGTAAGGAGCCGAAATGCAGAAAAAATTGTATCCCTATTGCCTGCCTCTCACAGAGGCTGGGCCAGAGTGGGTACAGGTGAGTGTTGCTGAATGAATGGGCAGGTAAATGGGTGAGCCTCTAATATTGCTCCAGGCCTCTCCCCCTTCATCGTTGACCCCCACCTCTGCTGCATTTGGTTTGGCAAAGTGAAGGTCAGTGGACAGAAGGGCTTCTGGGAACATCTGTTTCGGCTCTGGTGTAGGACATGATACTACAGCCTGGCACACAGATGGCGCGATCACTAAGCCTTGCTCGAACTCATCAGATGTCCTTGCACAGTCCATTCTCAATGACACCGACCTGCTGCCACGAGCTTGGCACTGACTCCTCTGGTTGGGTCCTGCCTGCCAAACTCATTCCCTCGTGGCTGTCTTTCCTGGTCATACGAGAGGCTGCTGGAAGTGCTAACCCTCTCTTCTCTTAGCTAAAGGGAGATCTGGGGCCTCTACTCTCAAGATGTAAACAAGCGAGGCATCCGGGGCACACCTGCCGGCCCTGCTTGCTAAGCACTTGCTCCCAGCTGGACAGACGTTGCAGGCCCCTGCTCCGCTGCCTGCGCAGCTGCTCGCTTCCCAGGAGGGAGTACGGAGGCGGCGGGGCCTGCTTGTGTGGACAGACATGGGGGAGAGGATGCCTGCTCACCTTATTGAAACAAATGATCTTTGGACCTGCCTAATCAAGCCAGAGTGGCTGGGAAGCCAAAGGGCAAAGCTTATGCTTGTGAAAGCAGCTGAAAAGGCAGACTAGTGTGCGTCAGCCTGCTCCCTGTCCCAGCCTGCTCCTTTCCTATTAAGGGCCTGACACAGGTGACTGTGAAGGGCTGGACAGAGGCCAGGATGGGGATAAGGGGAAGTGCTGCACTTCACAGTTGCTCGAGTGACCTCATTGGGCTTTAGCAGCAGTATGGCCTAGGCACTAGCCAATAAGAAGGAAATAGGGCTTTATTCTGGATATCTCAGCTGCTCCTGGCCTTTACCCTTTGGTTGTTGGGTGGTTGAGTGCCAGGGAGGCCCTAAAGGAGGGGCCAGGGTGCAGGAGTTGGGGAGGCCTTGGGGAACTCAGAGCATCCACTACTCACTTATCAGTGCAGGCCTGTTTCACCATATTAACAAGTGGTGTGGCCATGCTCCTGCTGAGTCAGGGCAGTGTCAGCTCGGATGCCCAACCCAAGAAAGGCAGATTTGATTCTCATACTTGAGGGGCATCAGCCTCACTTCATGAGCTTGGTGAAAATGGAGGCGCCCAGCTCCTACTTGAAAACATGCTCTAGGCCAGGCTAGGTTTATTTTACTTTGCCAGGAATCAGCTGATCTCTAAAGATCCAGCTCTAACTTTCAAGGGGTGAGTGACTCAGAGGTGAACTTCCACGTGCTGTCTTTAGGGCAGCTCAGGTGCTCATAGCCTATCCTCATTGCCTACCTTCAGCACCTTTCATAGCACTGTGGTGTGAGGGTCTGAATCCCCTTTCCTCATCTCTATTGAGGGGATAGAGCTCTCACAGGATGGAATGTTTGACTTCAGATTCTACCTGGGATCCATAGAATGCTCCATGGAATCTTTTTTTTTTTAAAAAAAGATTTATTTATTTGTTTATACAAGCACTGGGTATATTTATACAAGCACTGGGTACTGGGTATTTATTTATACAAGCACTGGGTCAGAAGCACAGGAGGGTGAGAGAATTCACCAGAGCCAGAGCGGGGAACAGAAGAGAAGAGGCAGACTGACGAAATACACTGCTGAGGGGAGCAGCGGGCAGCAGGAGAGGTCTGCGTGCCATGTGGGACCCTTGCCCAGCGGCCGGGGATCGAACCGGTGCTGCAGAGGCTGCGGGCAGCTTCGCAACCCAGTGCTCAACCGCTGCGCCACCGGGGAGGCCCTGCTCCATGGATTCTTAAAAGCACAAGGGAACTGGGCTTGATTGCTACCTATAAATCCAGTTAGCAAGCACTTCTTCCCCTGCTTGGAACACTCTTTCTCCCACCCCTTTATCCACCTGACAATCTTACTTGTCCTTCAGGACTCAGCTGACACTGTGCTCAGATCTCCTGATTGGGCTATGCTGGTCTCCTTTTAGCGCCGCAGCCCTAGGTATGCTAGGTGATTTTCTCACCTAGGATTTCAAGAGGCTGCTTCCTCAGAAACATTCAAGTCTATACACTCATGAGAATAGCCCATATAAAACAACAACAGCAAAAAAAACCAAACAAAACTAGAAACAACCATCATTGGCAAGGGTTTGGAGAAAAGGAACCCTTATACACCATTGGTGGCAATGCAGACTGCTCCAGCCCTATGGAAAACAGCATGAAGTCTACTCAAAAGTAGATCAAACATATGTCCCAGCAATTCCACTCCTAGGTTTCTACCCCAAGAATGCATTCCTGTGTTCACTGAAGCACTGTTTACATAGACATGTTATAGAGACAAGGGCATCCCAGAGATGCAAGGCCACTCTATAGAGATAGCAGACAAAGGGAAGAACTTTCTGGTTCATGTTTATCTCTCTGACACTCTAGCAACCTATTGAGAGCAACAACAGTTAAAAATTAATTGGCTCCATTGCTACTGAGGCACAGACTAAGTATTTATTTGACTACTGATGTCACCTACCTGCCGCTCAATCCTAAACTTGAGTGCTTTTTTTGGTAAAGAGGAGGCCTATCTACTCGTATTTTGATAAGTCATGTAATGACTCCCTGTCTTGTGATTTCCGCACATTTCTCCATCTGGATTACATTTACTTCAATGAGGCATGGGGTTGGATGTGAGTCTATGGAGTAGACTTGGGCCAATAACTCACAGAAATACTAGGGCAATGTTACCACGCTGTCCTAAAGGTTTGATGTGCAGTATTCCTTGGCAGGATTAGGGCTGTTTTTGTTTTATCAGGGTCTGGAAAGTCCTTGGCCAAGTGTGTAGGTGGGTATGTAAAAGATACAGGTCTTTAATCCTAGGAGCTTCAACAACTGTCCAGGGGAAAGGTCTAATTAGACCTCCTTTTTTTTATGGCACCTAACCTTAGTAGCAAATGGCATTTATGCATTAAAGTGCCCACATGGATGGGTATGCAATAAATGTTAGATCACAACAATTAAGTTTAATGAGAATTAATGGGTCGTTTTACAGCATCACCTTGGGTCTCTGGGATGCCCTTTCACCCTAGTTTACAAGATTCTGCTTGGCTGCTCCTGCTTACTTCAGCCCATTTTAGTGGGGTCACCTAGTTTTGCAGACTCTGTCCCCTCTTTCCCACCTGCCAGGAATGTCAAGACTGTTCCCTCCTCTTTTATTATCTTCCCCGCAACTTTCCCTAATCCTTATCACCTCTCTCCTCTCTCTTTGCCATCTTCACCCTCCTGTTTTCCCTCTCCAACTCTCCTTGTCCAGTCCCTTTTATAGTTTTCTCTAGGAGGTGTACCCTAGAAGGCACTACCTTGGACTGGAATCTTCTCACCGCCATTGTTGCCTTATCCTGCAACCTGGCGAAGCAGCAGCTAGCTAGTTGAAAAGAACAAAATCAGAGAAAGAATGTTGCAGTGATACTCATGGTCTAAACTCAAAGCCCTTCTATAAAGTTATTTTTTAGGCGTGCTGTATTTTCTTTGTGATGTCAGACTATTGAGCCCACATGAATCAACTACATCCATAATACCATGCGGGGCACTGATCATGGCTACGGACTGTCTGTGTATCGATTATGTAGGATTTTATGTGGGAAAACAGATCAAAAAACTTAAAGTATGATAGTATTTTGATGAGGTAGTCAGCCTTCTCTCTGACCTTTTTGTTTATAGCAAACTCAGAAAGTTGACCCCTTTGGTTTTAGAGGGTTCTTGGGTATTCAAAGCATCCATCTCATACCCTTCTCAGAAATTGTCTCTTTGCATCAGGATTGTGACTCCATGGAGGGAAAAAAATATGGTGGCTACTAGCAACTAGTATATAGGCTCCAGAAGATGGCAGAAACTATTTTAATGCTTGTTAAGAATATGGAGATGAGGTCAAAAAAACTATGCCAATATTGCCACCATTGGACACCTCTGGTTGAAGTCCCTTGTAGGACATCACACATTTTACACAGGACATAGGGGACAAGAGCCACACACTCCATGCTGGGGGAGAGGGTGGGCAGGATGGGCCCCCACTGCTTTGTCTGAGTCGTGGCCTTGTTGCCTCAAATCATTACGTTTGGAAGGCCACCTGCTCTCTCCGCCCGCCAGGGCTGGGTTCCCTGCTCCCACCTTTTCTTTCCTGGAGGTAAAACAGGCAAACAAGGACCCAAGCTTTAGTTCCCAAAGAATAGCAGGACACCCGCAGTAGAGGCAGATTGTATTTAAATGTAATTCACCTCTTGGGGGTCTAGGAATAGCCACCTGTAGATTCATTTGGTGGGAAACATGGTCTGTGCGGCCGAGGCAGTGGACACCGAGGTCATGGTTTTGCCAAAAGTTGACTTCCTCCGGAGGTCTGTCTGCTGTCCAGAATGGCAGCCACTTCGGTGGGCAAATAGGATGGTCATCTCTGGGCCCAAGGGGGCTGCGTCAGGCTGGGATCCCTTAGGGATGGCTGGCTGTTCAGACTTTCCAGAGCTGGGATGGGAGGTGCAGTGTTTGGCAGGTGGAGGACTGTAATTCTGAAATCTCACAGTTTTGACTTGCTGCAAGAGAAAGGAGAGCAAAGGGATAAGGATGAGGAGGGAGAAGAGGAATTTCGTTCATGTTGTCTCTCTACACTTTACTTGAAGTACCTCATTTATGTGCTCACTGGGCAAATACTATGTCTACTATGAGTGTCAACTGTGCTTCATGCACCTGTTAGGTGCTGTGAGTACACGAGTGAACAAAACTTCTCTGGGAAATAGACAACTATCACAAGCATTAGGAGGGTGGAAGTAGAAATGCTTGAAGAGTGGAGAGGAATATCTAACTGAAGTCAGAAGAAGGCAAGTCAGGGAAGGTTTCCCAAAGACACCCCCTGAATCTCGCAGGGGGGTGAGAGGATTCACCAGAGACAGAGTGGGAAACAGAACAGGCAGACGGACCAAAATACACTGCTGAGGGGAGCAGCGGGTGAGACAGGAGAGGTCTGCTGCACCATGTGGGTTGCTCTCTGGCCAGCTGGGGATCGAACTCATGCTGCAGAGGCTGCGGATTGTTTCATAGTGCAGTGTTTAATCCCTTGTGCCACCAGGGAGGCCCAAGACAGAACTATTTAAATTGAGAGGTGATGGATGTGGTGTGGGAATATACATCTGAAGAGGTGTGATCCTATTCCTCTGTATCATACACAGTGATGTACACCAATGTTACCTCAATAAAAGAGAGAGAGAGAGAGAGAATTGCAGAATAATTAGGAATTCTCTAGGAGAAACACAGTAGCAATCAGCAGAGAAAAGTGTCTGAGGCAAGAATGTATGATCCCCTCCAGAGAGGAAGTTGGCCTTCCTTCTCTCCTCTCTGCCCACCGGCAGGCACCACTAAGGCCTGTCTCAAGGCCTAACTCTTCTCTGAGGCCTCTCCAGGTGACTCTGTCAAGAGAGTTCCTTTGTGGCTTTGTTAGTCCTCAGAGCAGAGTTTGCAAACTGGGCACTTGTTGACTGAGTGTACTCTGTAGAATATTCAAGAATTTCGTTTAATTGCCAACACATACAAATTGAATATTACACATAAATATCAGAACTTTGTATGTCTCTCTTTTTTTTTAAAGATTTATTTTTATTTATGCATATAAGAACTGGGGTGTAGGGCCTCCCTGGTGGCGTAGGCAGTTGAGCGCAGAGCTGTGAACCTGTCTGCAGCCTCTGCAGCACAGGTTTGATCCTGGCCGGCCAGGGAGCTACCCACATGGTGCAGCAGACCTCTCCTGTCTTGCCCACTGCTCCCCTCAGCAGTGTTTTTGGTCATCTGCCTGTTCTGCTCCCTGCTCTGTCTCTGGTGAATCCTCTCACCCTCCTGCCCATCTGGCCTGTACCCCGGTTCTTGTATGCATAAATAAATAAATAAATAAATAAATCTTAAAAACAAAACAAAACTGGGGAATAGGCCAGAGGTGTGGGAGGTTTCACCAGAGACAAAGTGGGAACAGAACAGGCGGATCTATGGAAATACACTGCTGAGGGGAGCAGCAGGCAGGGCAAGAGAGGTCTGCTGCGCTATGTGGGTCAGCTCCCTGGCTGGGGATCGAACTCATGCTACAGTGGCTGGTGATATCTTGATAGCTGACACTTTAACCCCAGCACCACCAGGAAGGCCCTGTATGTCTCTTAAAAATATCTGGCGGGCCTCCCTAGTGGCTCAGCGGTTGAGCGCTGGGTTGCGAAGCTGCCCGCAGCCTCTGCAATGCCGATTCGATCCCCGGAGGCTGGCAAGGGTCCCACATGGCGCTCAGACCTCTTCTGCCGCCTGCTGCTCCCCTCAGCAGTGTACTTTGGTCCTTCTGCTTGTTCTGCTTCCCGCTCTGGCTCTGGTGAATTCTCTCTCCCTCCCGCGCTTCTGACTGAACCCAGTGCTTGCATAAACAAACAAACAAACAAACAAACAAACAAATTAAAAAAAAATATCTGGCACACTGGGATTGTGCCTCCCCATTCTGGCAACCAGTGCCTGGAGCTGACTGACTACAACTCTATGTAAGATGCCAGTCTTCTGGCTCCCCAGCTCCTCCCCTCCCTACTTTCCAGCACCGGTATGTGTCTGCTTTGGTCTCCCTGTCCTTGGGCTTATACAGTAGGCAGTGCTGCTGCTTAGGAGTCATTTTTTTCCCATGAAATTTGGTCCTAGTGAGAATCCGACTTTCTTTATATTTTTGACCCTCATCACATCTAGCAAGGTCTAGGCACTTCTTAAACACAGTTTGAGGGCTGTGTCTAGTAACTTGGGGTAACGGGAAACTGGGACCTGGAAAACTCTGAATCACTTGAACACTATAATTCAGAAAAAGAGCTCCAACATTTATGTCAGTCAACACTAACTTTTCCAAAAGCAGCCTTAACTTAGCCTTCAGAGCGTGAGTTTTTGGGATCTCCCTGGTGGTGCAAGGGGTTAAGACATAGCACTATGAAGCTGTGTCTATTCACAACTACTGCAGCATGAATATGATCCCCGGCCAGGGAACTACTCACATGGCACAGCAGACCTCTCCTGTCTTGCCCGCTGTTCCCAGCAGCAGTGTATTTTGGTCCGTCTGCCTGTTCTGTTCCCCACTCTGTCTCTGGTGAATCCTCTCACCCTCTGCACCCCTGGCCTATACCTCAGTGGTGTCAATAACAGTTAATTGTTGGAATCATTATAACTTGATAAGTCAAGTTAAATTTGACTTGATAAGTCACTTAAATTTTCTTGTGCCTCAGTTGCCCCATCCATGAATAGTTATGCATGGAGCCTGGTACAAGCATTTGCACAGCTTACATCATTTAATCTCTACTCCAAGCCAATGGGGCTGTTCCTATTATTACCACCATTTTAGAAATTAGGCACTAAAGAGTCTCAGAAAAGTGAAGTGTCCTAACTAAAGCGACCAGCTATCAAGCAGAGCTGGAATTCAAATTGAGATTTGTTTGATGCCAAAGTCATGACTTTTCCAAGCGACCTTTGGCCATCAAAGGAAGGATGTGGAAAATGGACGCATAAAAGAGATTCAGCAACTGTAGTGCAAGGCTTAGAAATTAGGTTTTTGGGGTGAGGACGTGTCTTGGGGATTGTGGATAAGGATTCCTTCCAGGTTGTGATTTGGATTTCTTGTCCACTAAAACAAACCTCAGAAGCTGGGACATTGCAAAGTTAGGGGGTCTAAAGAGTCAGCCCTTCACCCTGAATGCCACCTGCCTACCTTTTCAATACCATTTCTTGAGTTTTCAGGTTTCACCAGGATTGACGGTGGGGCTGACGCAGGTGGTTTGGGTAGAGGCTCACTCTTGACAGGGATCTCCTTGCTTTCCATGATGAGAGAACTGGCTGCCGAGTGGATCCTGGAGTCGCTGGCCCTACTGACACACGTGAGGGCAGTGTCCCCCGTGAGAGCAGGCTTGGACCCCATCTCTGTCACCACTGTTGAGGGCGAGGACGGCTGGTAGAACTGGAACTGCTGAGGTCGAACGACCATGGTAGGGCTGCGTCTGAGGGAGCCCACCAAGAGAGTGGGGATCCCTGACTGGACAGGCCTCTGCAAGGAGCCATCTAGGGGATTAAATGGCAGAGATATTAGCGACAGGGCCACTGACAGCAGGCTGGGCTGGGGCTGGGTGAGCTGTGTGCTCTGCTGCCCCAAAAAAGTTAAGTGCTTTCTCAGTGTGGCTGCACTACACCCTCTCTCTCTCAGGGTCTTCCAGTGACCTGATTCTTTCTCAGTGCTATATGATGATGCTGGCAGCAGATATCTGGCAACTAGCTGAATGTTGGGGGTGGGCAGGGTGTCAGAAGGTATATTCCTTCCATTTTCCTTCTCTCTCCTCTCTTTCCTACTCTCTCTCTTTCTTCCTCTCTCTCCCTCTCGTCAGGTCTTTAAGATGGAAAGTCTTCAAGCATCACACTTTGAATAAAATCATCAGCAGTTGATCCAAAAAAAAAAAAAAAAGATGGAAAGTGAAGAAAATGAACTTAGAGAGACAGTGTTACAATGACAAGCAAAGGTAGAGGCCTGCAGATCAAAGAGGAAACAAGAGCAGAGAGAAAGTCAGACCACAGACACTGGGAACGCAAGAGAGAGACAAGTGACAGGGATGAGGAGGGAAGGAAGAGAAGACACTAAGCAGCCACTTAAAAGAAAATTCTACAGAAGCTTTAGGCCTGAGGCGGTAGGATCACTTTGTGTTAGGGGCTGCAGGGAGGAAGGGTGGATGGGATGAAGAGAAGGTGTGTGCTAACTGAACACAGACAGAAGCAAATTGGGAGACGTTATTCCGGAGTTAGACTGTGTGTGGGTGAGCCTCGCAAAGTCTCATGACACAGGTCCGGGAATGAGACTTATTCCCAGGTAGCCCAGGAGAAGTTCATGACCTCACCCCTTGTGCCCCGGTACCCTCGTTTGTAAACTGGAGTTACTACCAGCATCTGGCAGGGCTGGTGTGAGGATTCCATTCTGAGATGTGTGCAAATTATTAGCTTCGTACCTGGAACATAATTGATGCCCCATGTTTGTGGACACCATTATTTCTAGGCCTTAAAATGCAAGGCCTAGAAATTAGGTTTATAGTCGTTCTCTGAGCTCATTTCCCCCCCGCTTCCTGTTAACTGAGAGAGTGTCCCCCAGAAAAAGAAAGCCATTCCTTCTCCTCAGGAAAGCTAGGCCTTCGGAGTAGGGCCTGCGTGACCAGGGAATATAGGGGTTCTTTGCACTCTGCGGGGAGGGGAGAGATATCGTGAGAAGCACTGTGGGCATTTCTCCATAAGGGTGACGTCCAGCGGGAGGCGCTTTGTGACACTGTGGACATGTGTGTGAACTGGTCATTTGTGTCCAGCACAGAGGGCCGAGCCCTGGCTGTGCTCTGAGACATGACTCTTCCTCGAGTGGATGTGAACATGAAAAGCAGAAACCTCGCTAGACGCTGCTGCCAGCAAGCCCGTCACCGTTTACACAAGTCTGACCTTTTGATGTAGACATTTATTTTTCTACTGACAGCCCTGTAAGGTGCACACAGTCAATTCTCTTGTCATTTCTCTTCGCCTTGGGGAGATTGATAGCTTGACCGGCCTCACCTTGGGAAAGGGAGAGACAGAAAGCCTGGGACCTGGCAAAGTCAAAGCAGCACTGGACAGACGTGTCCTCAGGCTCCCAGAACTGGGTGAAGAATCGGTTTCATGCTTTATCTGTTCCTCTTGTTGGTTCCTAATTTCTGAGAGACTTAACCCTTTCTCAGCGCCAGTGCACACAGAGCAAGCAGTCAAAGCCCCTCGCCAATCAAAAGTTACCACAAGGCGGAGAGGGAGAGCGTGAAGGGCAGGGCGAGCACCTGCCAATGGGACTCGCTTCTTGCTTCTTGGCAGCGCAGGTGGTCCCGGCTGACTGGGGACTGGGGCTAAGAGTTTACGTTCTGGATGCACCAGAGATGATCTGCTTAGCTGTAGCGGTAATGAGAATACTGACAAAATGATAAGACTCTGAAGCTGCTAATTTTTCTGAAGAGCTTAGTATGTTCCAGGCACTGTGCCATCGTCTCCTCCGGATTATTTTATTAATGCAAACACTATGGATGAGGCAGGCACTATTTTTATTTCCATTTAATGGAATGAGAAACCCAAGACTGAACAGATCAGTTAGTTGCCAAGAGGTGGTTGTGGTGGGATTATTTATTTTGTGTGTGTGTATGTATGTGTGTGTGTGTGTGTGTGTGTTGAGGTGGGGGCATGGGGAGAAGGCAGAGGAAGGTACAGAAGGGTGCAGGAGGGAGGCACGGGTGGACGGAATATTGAGGGAAAGCATGGTCAAGCAGCTGATCAGATAAAAGCACTGAGAAAGGGTGGCACCTAGACACTTGCTTTAATCTTGGGGGGACACTTTTCTGTGTTGATATTGTCCTACATTTTGCTCTTTTGCTCTGATATTGCATTTTCATATTTAATCATTTTTTTAAAAGCAAGAGAGAATCCAGAGCCCAATTTAAACCAGGGGACATAGACTAAATCAAAATCACTTTGCCTGGCTTGTCTTCTAGAGAAGAAAATGAATACTAGGACCTCCATTTTTTGTACAACAATGAGTTTTGGACACTATAGAGCCTCTGCCAATGAAAAATCTTACATAGAAGTTAAATATGTAAGGAGGTAAAAGCATGGCTTTTAAGAGGAAGAAGCTAGATGATTGCCATATGTGGAATACAGATGCTATAGAGAAAAAATAAGACAAAACAAGGTGCAGAACAGTGCCAGGAGTGTGATTAAAAGTTCTATTAAAAAATGCAAGAGAACGTGTCCCTTGAGGTTAAGGACATGAAAGAGGCTTGTGCAGTTTTGGACAATGAATTTTTTTTTAAGCTATGTGATAAATAAGAGAGCGAGGTTCAGGATTCCTATCGCTTTTGGAGCCCTGTTAAACTCTTCCCATCCTCCTCTTGTTTCCCTCTCCAAGAGGGTCCCTGGATCATAGTTTGAGAAACACTGATCCAGCAAGTGCTTGGATGGTTCTGACTTAGTAAGTGCAGACTTCCACCTTGGCCGGGTTCTGATTACCTCTTGCCACATGGGGCTGCCGTCACCCGTCATTCAGTGTGTATGAATGAAGTGACCTTGAAGCTGGTCTGGCTTCATTTGCTAGAACAACTCGGGGTTTAAGGATGGTAAGCACGTTTCTCAGAAGCATGTTTTAAATAATCCAGTCAAAAAATGGGCAGAGGAGCTAAAAAGAAATTTCTCCAAAGAGGATACACAAATGGCCAACAGCCATATGAAAAAATGTTCAACATCACTTGTCATCAGGGAAATGCAAATCAAAACTACCATGAGATACCATCTCACACCAGTGAGAATGGCACATATTAAAAAAACTAGCAACAACAAATGTTGGCGAGGATGTGGAGAAAAAGGAACTCTCCTGCTTTGCTGGTGGGAGTGCAAACTGGTCCAACCACTATGGAGAGCAGTGTGGAGATTCCATAACCTTCTAAAAATAGAGTTCCCATATGACCCATTTCCATATGATCTGGGTAAATACACTCCTAGGTATTTACCCAGAGGACTCAGAAACATTAATTCCAAAGAGCACCTGCACCCCTATGTTTACAGCAGCACTATTTACAATAGCTAAGCTTTGGAAACAACCCAAATGCCCAAAAATAGATGACTGGATCAAGAAGATGTGGTCCATATACACCATGGAATATTACTCAGCATTCAAAAAAGATAAACACATGCAATTTGCAGCAACATGGATGACGCTGGAAGGGATCATGCTCAGCAAAATAAGCCAGAAAGAAAAAGAAAAATACCGGATGGTCTCACTCATAGCAGGAATTTAGAAAGCCTAAATAAGGGACCAGGAAAAAGACTAACTGTAATAAAGTAAAAATCAAAATCAACAAGCAACTATAGACCAGAGACACACTGGTGGGGGGAGTGGGGAGGGAAGGAGGAGAGAAAGGATTAGAGTCAAAATAAGGGGGGGGGGTTGCAATTGTATGGGGAATATAACCAAAATGAAAATGCATACATTGTGCAAAAATGAAAAATGATGTAAGAATTATATAAAATACAATAATTAAAAAAAAACCCCTGAGGCCCTTGTTTTGGCAGGAAGCACGCTATCTCCCTGGGGTCAGACCGCCTCACGACTCAGCTCCAGGTACCTACCTCTCGGCCACCACTTACTTTTTCTCATGCTGCTCCGCCCTTTCCGGAGGGAGCCCTGCGCCGGGGTCGCCAGGCCGGAGCTGCTCCGCACGGGGTTGACGATGGCGGTGGGCACGAAGACGGACTTGAAGGGGCGCGGCTGCCGGGGATCACCTTCTGAAAAGCTGCCCTGAGAGGACACCGAGGAGGTGGAGAGCGTCCATGTGGCATAGAGATTTGGACTCCGGGGATCTGGAAAACTAGATGTTTTTCTGGTTGTGGGAAATTTTTGGAAAGAGAAGAAACAGAAAAAAAAACAAAACCAAACATTCAGCCAAGAGTGCTACCTTAAAGGGGTCAATTGTAAAGTGAACAGAAAGGACTTTTAGTGGTGAACGTGCGGTGGTCTATACAGCTACTTCTAATAATGCATACCTGAAGCATGAATGCTAGAATGTAACATTACTTCAATAAAAAAATTAATTCAGGTGGCCCCCCTGGTGGCATAGGGGTTACAGTCTCAGCTCTATGAAGCTATCACCAGCCCCTGCGGACTGAGTTTGATCCGGGGCCAGGGAGGTGACCCACATGGCACAGCAGACCTCTCCTGTCTCCCCTGCTGCTCCCCTCAGCAGTGTATTTCAGTGAATCTGCCTGTTCTGTTCCCCACTCTGTCTCTGGTGAATCCTCTCACCGCACTCCCCCACCCCCCGCACCTCTGGCCTGCACCCCAGTTCTTGTATGCGTAAATAAATAAAAATAAATCTTTAAAAAATTAATTAAAAAAAGAGCACTATTTTGAAAATCTGTCAGCCCCAACTAGAAAACAAATGTGGCCCCACTTACCCTCTTCCTACCTACCAAGTGCTCTTTGTCAGCCCTGATAACTGTGGCCTCATACTGAGGCCCTGGGGGAACTTTCACCCCAGCTCTGGTCACTCCTCACCCCATGACCCTAAATTCATAGCACAAGATCTCAGCCAGAGCACAGGATACCAGCGCGCAGGAAGTTCATCTCACTTTGCAGAAGCAATTTCTGGTTCATTCAGTGACTTTCCCTCTGGTTTCTAACCCCTTTGAAAACAGACATTTTATTTATTTATTTCATTTTTTTAAATTATTTTTTTACATCATTGTTCGTTTTTAAACAATATTTGCTTCTCCCCACCCCCTCAGGTGTAGTCCCCATAGAATTTCCTTCCCCAATGCACCCGTGCACCATCACCTCAGTCCCCTGTGCTCCTCCGTCCCTCCCTGAAAGCAGACATTTTACACAACTTATTTTAAAACCACGGTGTTATGCATATATTCTTTTACAACGTGTGTTGGTTGTAAGGCTGCCAGCTCTGATACCGGTCATTTTGGCTAACACATACTGAGCACCTACTGTATGCCAGGCATTGCCTAAGCGCTTTGCCCACATTTTCTCATGGGTTCGTCACAACCTTCTTTGGCAGGAATTATCAGTGCCATCATTTTATAGATTAAAACCTGCTGACTTACAGTTACTTGCCCTGGTAACTACTGCACCTGAGATTTGAATCCAGGTCCCAGCTGACCTTCTGCCCTTATCTCTGAACTACACGTCCTTCTGGTTAGTTAGAGCTTCGTCACTGAGAAGTAGGATGATGCACATGGCTTCTCCTTAAGACCTCAATTCTTTAGACGTGGGCTCTGTTTTTTGAGACTAGTATGAAAGTTTTATAAAAAGCAATCCCTTTTCCAATGTTTCTAGCCTGCCACAGCCTGAGCTCAAGGGGAAGGGCTGTCACTCCACATGGCTTTCCTGCCATTTTACCAATCCCACCCCAACATCACAGCCCATCAATCACCCTGTCACTCTTTCCATTAAATAGCTGTGCAAATTCCCCGGGAAGCTCCAGCTCCACCACGGAACTGCACAGAGATGTTCTCCCTTGAGAATCCCTTGCTGTCGACGCCTCCTGGTTTCTCATTAGATAATTTCCTAATTATTTCTCCCTTTCTCTTTCTCCGCTTTAAAAAGTGACAGGCAGCTAAATAGTGACTGAGTTAGTACTGTATGGAGATAGGTTAACATTTCATGTGATCAGCTCTGCCCAGGAAGTATTTGCAGCCAAATGCCCCAAACAGATATTTTACAGCAAGGGGACTGTCAACCTGCCGCTGGGTCGTGGAGATGTGGCCAGTGAAGGGGAGACTTTCTCCGCCAGTGAGATCTTAGTGCACATGCTCTGGACATCAGGGCTGGGCACTGGAGTGAAATCCCCACATTGGTTGTCAAGTCCTCCACATGCCTTTCCTGCAATTTTACCAATCCCACCACAGAGTGCATTTGTTCTTTTGAACAGAGGCCTCAAGGTGCGGGACGCTGCAAAATGCACTGGCCACTGGAAAGCTGGGCGCAAACTTGTTTCCGGTGGCAGCAGAAGCAAGGACAGAATGCAGTCAACTAGGCCCTAGCTAGTCTTATCTTACTTGTTCCTTCTCTGAATGACTATTTACAGTCCAAGATACGACTTCATTTTTCTGAGCCAAGAACTGAGTGGGATTCCAGAAGCGCCTAAATCCCAAGACCCTATTCAATAATGGTCTCTCTATTTCTTTTGGCAAAAATCTTTGCACATACCTGGCACTTTCTTCTAACATCAAAGCACTTTGCTAACATATGTTAGCTAATTCCCATGACACCCGGATCTGCAGACACGATGGTTCTTGTTTTCCAGACAGGGACACTGACAGACGTTCTGGAAGGAAGTGGGAGTGGGAGGGTGCATGTTGCCTCTGATTCGCTCCACTGGACCTACCCTGTGTGTGCAGGGGCCTGGGTCACCTTTTCTATCAGTGATGTGAGCCCTTGAGAACTTGTTCCAAACAGCTGTCTACTGTGCTCACCACTGGCAGAGGCCTCCTGGAAGTGGGGAGGTTGGACCTTGACAGTCTTTGTACAGTTCGGTGTGGGAAGGTAAAGGCAAGCGAGTCGTGGTCCATGTGTCTGTTTTCTCCATGATGAGGCACCAGGAGGGCCTGTGTGTCTGGTGAAGTTCGCAAGAAAGAGAAATATCCTGCTAATTGGGAGAAGGGAAGTTATTTGCAGGATGGGGTGGGGTGGCGTGAAAAAGGCCTGGAAACAGGATCCAAGGAGGCTCAGAGAGCTGGAGAAAGAGTCTGCTCAGATGCTGCTGCTAGTGTTGGACTTCAACTTTGACCCTTTTTGTTCCTTTGTTCAAGTTTCCAAGTCCCAAGAGGGAGTGTCAGGTCGGCTGACCCTGACCTTTAGCTGTGTGATGGGTGGAGGAGGCGGGGGGAAAAGGAAGAGGAGCTAGTTCTCCAGCCTCTGAAAAAGAAGGAAACTCTGCCTCCCACCAAGACCATAAGTGAACGAGGAAACCCAAAGATGTTGATGCTATTAAGAGGGGTTTTGGGTGAATATGTGACAATGTGCTGTACATGCTGAGGATATGGGGGAAACTGTCATGGTGGCAGGGGCTGGCTGAGGTCAGGAGCTGGACAGCCTGTTCTCACCATCTGGCCCAGAGGGCTGGGGCTCTGAATAGCCCTGCAACTTTTCCTCTCTTGTTAATTCCAAGATTCCCTCATTGAGCCTTAAACCAAAACACTGGCATTGTTCAACTTCGGCCCATAATTAATTCTCCAACTCTGTTCATTTTGGGGGTGATGCTAATGACAGCCAAGGTTGACTTGCTCGGGGAACTCACATCTCTGAGCCCTGGCTGTTTTATAGAAGGGTACACTGTGCATCAAGGGGGCTGACGGCCATGCAGAGCCCTCACTGCAAGTGAAACAAAGACGAGAGAGTGAGGGCAGAACCTCACACACAGAATTAATGAGCAAAGAGGGCCTTGCCCACGTAGGCCAGCCTACTCAGTTCTGACACCTACCCTGCTAAGTATAGTAGACGCTCACTGGAAAGGACAGCATCATTCAGCCCTGAGAAGCTGGAGGATCTACACTTTCCACAGTGGAAAGGGTGGTTAAGAATGAGTGAGCTGTCCCCACACACAAAAACTGGGCATATGTCCTCCAAGTCCAGATTGGGGGCGACGGAAGCTTTCTCTGCAGGAGGGAAGACTTTCAGGAAAACACATACAGAAAGCATTGATTCTCTGTCTCCTAACAGCCCTCAGGATAATATACTGACAGGGACTTACTTTTTCTTCTTGGACATGCTGGTTCCCTAGAAGCAAAATCACCCGTAAATGTAAGTAGCATCTCAATGTATGCAGGTGTTCAGATTTCAGGTGGGGAGGGGGAGAAGATGGGGCGGTGAGGGAGAAGGACTCAGTGATAGTCTATGGTGCTGGGTCTCCGTCCATGGTCAGACACACAGCTGTCTTGGAGCCGGTGAGTCCAGATGCTCATGACCTTCTCAAGAAAGCAAAATGATAAAAGCCAAGTGGGAGAGAAAGGGAAGCTGGCGTGTTGATACATGAATGGAAGTGGAGTGGGATCCTACGTGCTTCTGGTTTTTCCCATCACCTGTATTTTCTATCCTGATTTTCCCAGGACAATCTCAGTTAATCCTCTCTTAGTACATTAAGAGTATCCGCCTCTTGAAATGCAAATCAAAACCATAATGTGATAAACCAGTGAGAATGGCCCATATTAAAAAACAAACAAACAAACAGGCAACAACAAATGCTGGTGAGGCTCTGGAGAAGAAGGAATCGTCTTACGCTGCTGGTGGGGGTGCAAACTAGTCCAGTCACTATGGAAAGCTGTGTGAAGGATCCTCAAAATACTAAAAATGGATCTACCATATGGATCTACCACAGGATCCACTTGTAGGAATCCACCCAAAGGACACACACACAAAAAACCAATTTGAAAGGGGACCTGCACTCCTTGTCTATTGCAGCACTATTTACAATAGCCCAGGTATGGAAGCAATCTCAATGTCCCAAAACAGTCAAATGGAGCAAAAGTTGTATAGATACACAATGGAATACTACACAGTGATTAAAAAAGATAAACCCATGCCATTTGCAGCAACATGGATGAGGTTGGAAGGCATTATGCTAAGTGAATTAAGTCAGAAGGAAAAAGATTAATATCAAATGGTTTTACTTAAAGGTGAAATATAGGGAAAACAAATTAAATACCAGGAAAAAGATAAGACTGGAGGGCAAACCATAGATCTAATGCATGCAACAGGGGAGGAGGAGAGAGGGGGTCAGATTGGTGGGGGGGAAGCACAATGGACTAAGGTGATGGTTCACGGGTGATGTGGTGGTGGGGGAATTATAGGGACACCTGATGGGGCAAATCAAATATTGTACAAAAATGAACAATAACATAAGAAAAAAAAAGAGTATCCCCCTTTTATCTCAAAAGTGTCTTCGCAAGGGGTTAAGATGCAGCCTGTGAAGCTGTCCACAGCCTCTGCAGCACAGAGTTCAGTCCCCAGCCAGGGAGCAACCCACATGGCACAGCAGACCTCTCCTAACTCACCCGCTGCTCCCCTCAGCAGTGTACTTTGGTCGGTCTGCCTGTTCTGTTCCCCTCTATGTCTCTGGTGAATCCTCTCACCCCCCACACCTCTGGCCTGTATCCCAGCTCTTGTATGCATAAATGAATAACTCTTTTAAAAAAAAGTGTCTTTGTTCGGATGATAAATTATATGGACACTTATTCTAATGGTTCTTTCATGGCATAACCAGAACTCTGTACTGTGGTCTAATGTAAAAGCAGCTACTCTTGTAGAGAAGGCCCATTGAGTATTGATGCTAGATCTCATGGAAGAAACTGTTTGCATGTTCCTCATTGTCTTCTTCTAGACCATTCTCCCACCCTCCTCAACACTTCTGAGCTTTGGCTTGTATTACCAAACTTTACTATCCCACATTAGCACAGTCATTTCCCCCTAGGACCCTAGTTCCTGATGATCATTCTCTCCAATGCAACTAATCCTACTCTGATGACCTCATCTAGTCTTAGGACTTTAAATACCATCTCAAGCCTGAACATCTCTCTTAAATGCTAGACGTGTATACTTAACTACTTACAGCATCTTTACTAGGATTACTAACAGGCTGCTGAGATTTTAATCTGTGAATCTCAAAGCCTATTCCCCTTTTGGTTTTCACCACCATTTCAGCAAAAGCAACTCCAGCTTCCAGTTACTCAGAACTCACCTTGAATCCTCTATTCTTACACCCCGATATTTGGTTTGTCAGATATTTCTGTTACCTCTACCTTCAGAACAGATCAAGAATCTAATCACTTCTACCTAACTTCCTGGCTAACATCCTGGTTCAATTCACCCTCACCTCTTCCTGGGACAATTATAATATCTTCTTAAGTTTCTCAACCCAGCAACTAGAGGGATTACGGTTAAGACACAAGTTTGATCACGAAGATCATCTGCTCAAAACCCTTAATAGGGTTAAAGCCAAATTCCTCATTATGATCTAGGATATTCTCTATGATCTGCCACCCCCATTACCATTCTGACCTCATCAACTAACCTCTCCCTCACTCATCCTAATCCTGTCCTATCAGCCTTCATGTCAGGTACATGCCTACGTTAGCATCTGCTGTTTGTACCTGCTGTTCCTTTGACCTGGAAGACACTTCCCCAGATTTCCATTTCCCTTATTTCTTCTTTTTTACTTCTTGGTAAAGTCATCCTTGAATAACCCATTACAATTTTGCTCACCCCTATATGAATTTCATTCCCCTCTTCTGATTTACCTTTCTTCTTAGACTTTTATCATTAACACACTATATATTACTTCAATATTTTGTTTACTATCTGTCCCATGGTATGTAAACTTCCGTGGGCAGAGATTGTGCATGTTCTGTTCATTAATGGGTTTTTCTCCAGTGCCTAGAAAGGTGCTTGACACATATAATAAGTATTTGTTGAATAAATGAATCAAAACATCAGTTACAGATACCCTTGGTTTGCCTTTGGAGATTTTGCACCTTTCCAGAAAGTCCCCCAAACTTTCAACTGAAGTGAATAGCTACAGTCTTCTAATCCAACTTTCTGCTACATGAAAGAATCTTTTCATGCAAATTTGGATTGAAAAGAATCCATGCTTTGCCTGACCTCTTCCTAGAAAGGGGGTCTACCAGCTCACTCACCATCCTGTTGGGAGAAATCTATGGGCTAGAAACTACAGTCTTTTATTGAACTAAAACCCCATTGTATCCAGTGGCTCATTGCCTCCTCAGGAAACACATCTCTTTCCTGGTATACACAGTCTACTATGGTCCCTCTGACTTTTGTCTTCTAAGCACTAGTTTCTTTATCTGTTTTTCCTGGGTTAAAGTTTTCTGTCTCCTCACCATCCTTGCTGTCTTCCTGCAGACACAAGTACCCCACTTACATTAAGATCCCAGAGACTGGACATCTGACCCACACAGACGACAATGGAGTCATCACTTTCCTTGGTGTTATGACCCTCTGGCATGTCATAAAGACAGTGTTTGATGAATATGGTGACCTCACCGCCTTGTGACAGGCTTTGCCTGGGTGGATGGGGTGCAGGAAGGAGGAGTCGTGGAGAATCCCAGGGTCTGCGTCATTTGTGGTTGTGATTTGAGGTGGTTAGACAAATCGGGTGGGTGAAATGGACAGGTATGCCAGAGAATGAGAACGTTTGGGAGAAACTAGGAAGAAGATCTGCAGGGTTACTAGCACTGGAGCTGGTGCCGATGGACACAAAGTGGCCTGAGTTCAGGAAAACTCTCACAGCCTAATGTTCTGGGAGGCCTCCCGAGGGGCTCTAGGGAGTCATCTGATCACCACCTCTCCCCATTGGACCGCTACATAGAATGTCAACATGGAGAATGTGAAGTGGGATGCTTTGGCTTTGAACAGTAGAAGACCTGAAATCTAGTTCTTGAGCAAGTTGCTTAGCTCTGCCCACTGGTTTTCCTCATCTGTAAAATAAGAACCTACCTTATGGGATTCTTGTGTAGACAGCAAGTTGAAATATGTGAAATGGCTTGTGTAACATGAGGAATTATTTAAAAAGATGTTGATTTTTGTTATTTAAAAAAAGGATGAGGAGGATACCAGGGCAAAATCTATTTTTTGGTCCACCCTCTGTAAGAACATTGAGGTCTTCAGCAATTCAACAGATGGCCCATGGATGGCCCGTGGCCTATACGACCCCACCTCCCAATGCCTGAGATTGAGGAGACGCACCTGAAGATGGGGATGACGTAGTTATTGGGGAAGATGCCGACTCGCCCGGTGACCAAGGAGACACCCCTGAGCCAGCCATCTTGGTACTTCCCCAAGACCCTGATGCCTTCTCCCTTCTGCAGGTCTAGCTCATCGGGTCCATGGGCCGAGTAGGAATGCAGGGCTACAAACCTGGGGAGATACAGGGGACTAGTGAGGTACCTGGTGCAGGAAGAAAGTCAGTCACCTAGTGGAGGACATGAGTGGAGGGAGACCAAATCTCGGGCCCATCAGCTTAGTGGCTAGCAATACAAACCTTTCAGAGATTGAAATCTCAACATATAAGGTAGATAAAAGTGGAAGAATTTGGTACAAACAGCAGTGGAGGGGCCTAGGTCCCTGCCCTCTCCATTTCTTCCCTTCTCCATAGCGTGCCATAGAGCTGCAGATCACTAATTGAGACCACATTGGCATTTGACAATGGGTAAACTGGCTTAGAATAGAGAATATTTTGTGAACTTCCAGTTACAAAATAAATCAAGGAGATGTAATGGGGACTATAATCACTAACACAGCATTGCAAATTTGAAACATGACAAGTGGACTTATGGTGATGATCACGTCAAATTATACTAATGTTGAATCACGACGCTGTATACCTGAAACTAAAATAGCGTATGTCATGTATATTTCAATAACAAAAACAAAACAGAGGAAGAGTTAGCAACTGGGAGTTAGTGGCAGAGCTGGGTCTCAAACCTAGAATAATGGCTCTTCCTAGGATGCTTTCTCACACTGAGTATCACCCCCCAAAATGGTAACAGCCAGGACAGGCCAGGTAACAAAAGATCAGCATAGAAACCTCTCTGATCAATTCCTTTCTGAGTCTAAGGACATGGCCTGGGAACTGGCTTAATGTTTGCTATGAAGCAGACATTGCAGGGGGAGGCAGGAGTTAGTTTCAGTTTTTGGTACACAGTGGGGTACTGGCTGCATGTGGGTTGGTGGGGAATGGGCGTGGAACGCAGCAAAAGTGTCCTGCTTCGAGTAGTGACTTTCCACTCTGATGTCCACACAGGGGTCAGGGGTCAGGGAGAGACATCCAGGTCTGAGCAAGTGGGGTGGAACAAGAGGGAACAGTGAAGCCGTGGACATGGTACTACCTGCCTGCCTAAGGACATTAAAACATAACCCACTTTGGTTTTCCAGATTGAGGGCTTACCTTGTCGGGTGTTTAGATATTAGGAAGCCCTTCTAGACCTAAGGACTGTGAAACATTGAAATTTATTATCAAAGGGGCAGGAGGAATGTTCTCACCTGCAAACGCTCTGCCCCCTATACTGTATTTTTTGTTGGTTACTAAAGCAACATCTATTCATGACCCAACATTTTTTCTTTTTTTAAATATTTATTTTTATTTATTTATGCATACAAGAATGGGGATATAGGCCAGATGTGCAGGGGGTGAGAGGATTCACAAGATGGGGGAGCAGAACAGGTAGATCTACTGAAATACACTGCTGAGGGGAGCAGCGGCCAAGGCAGGAGAGGTCTGCTGTGCCACGTGTGTCAGCTCCCTGGCTGGGGATCGAACTCATGCTGCAGTGGCTGCCGATAGCTTCATAGTGCTGAGACTTAACCCCTTGTGCCCCCAACATGTTTTTTTTAAATGAGAAAAACCATTTATTCTTAAATGTAGAGGAAAAAAAGTCAAAATTCAGCATCAGTTTCTCTACCATGCGCGTTCCTCCTAAAAGAACCCAAGCAAAACAGAGTAGGACCTAACATTTGAATCTAAAGGAAGATAATAGAAACTGCTGAATAGCCACTGTCCCTTTGGTAGTAACACAAGCCAGGCTACGGCTTGCTAGCTTGTATATTTCCTCCATCATTGCTTTGGAGGCTATAAAGGAAGGGAGCGCTTGTCTCCCTGCAGGGGTGGTTTGGGAGTGATGATTCTCAGTGGCAGAGGGGTGGCAAAGATGACCCTCTGTGCCAGGGCCTGGCAGGTGGAGGGCTAAGCTTTTTACTCACATGTTAGCTGGGAGGTGTTGCTGGGAGCTGGGCAGGCTGACGATGGCTGTGGAATGTCCTGGGGAGGCAGGCGCAGGGCGATATGTGCTGACCTACACAGAAAAGACCGTCAAGCAGAAGCAGTAAACGCCAAGAGCCAGGCCCCGGGGAATGCTGCCACAAAAGCTCTGACACAGCTGAAAACCAAGAGCCGCCCCAGCGCCACCCGTCCTGCGTCTGTCTTGGGGTTCGTGGTTGTGGGCAGAGCAGGGTGGGGTTGGATTGGTTCATGACCTGCTGCGGTGGCATGCCAGGGCCACATTCCAAAAGACTGCTCAGATACAGCAGAGGTTGAAACCCCGTCCAATTTCCAGTCAACAGGGCTCAGCCAGGTTCCTGATCTCCTGACCAGTCCCCACACACCTCCCAGTACTTACTTCTCCCTCTGAAAACCCACTTTCAGAAAAGGATAAGACACCTAATGTTGACGGAAAACTTAATGCTTGCCAGGCAGTTATAAGAGTTTTACAAGCATCAGCTGCATTAATGCTTATTAAACGCTAATAGTTATTAAAGGTACTATGATCATTCCCTTTTTTGGATGAGAAAATGAGAAAAAGACACGTCATCCAACTAGTATGAAACAAAATTTAAACCAGGTGGTCTAGTCCCGAATCCACACTTTTTTTTTATAATATATATTTTTTATTAAAGACATATCATTATTTTACATCCTTGATGTTTTCCCACAATGTAAGATTTTTCCCCTCAGGTTTGGATCCACACTCTTACTAATGCTAGTACACACACACACACACACACACACACACATGCTTATCCAGAGATGAATCTGCATTCTTTTCACTTTTTCAGGATGGAAGGGAGTAACAATGCTAAAGTCTCCTTGAAACTCTTGCTTCCCTCCACACCTCAAAAACTGTTTCTCTCTGGGTTTTCACCACCATCTTAGTAAAAGGCATTTCAGTAAAAGCCCATCATGGCTTCTTGCCTATTATCTAACACATTACAGTTGGCCTTTCACCAGCATGGATGTTAGGAGCACCGAACTGCATAGCTGAAAATTCACTTATCAATTCTGAGTCCCCTAAAACTTAAAAAATAGCCTGTTGTTGATCAGAAGCCTTACTGAAAACAACATATGTTCTACATATATGTTATATATTATAGCTTTACACTAAAGTAAGCTTGAGGAAGGAAAATGCTATTAAAATCAAAAGGCAAATAATTTATATTTTAGTACTGTATTGTCAATATTGTAAGTTTACATTGTGTGTTTACAAGAAAATCCATATATGTTACAAGAAAATCCATATATGTTTACAAAGCGTTATTCATAATAGCCAAAAGGTAGAAATAACCTCGGTGTCTAGTAACTAATGAATGGGCAAACAAAATGTGATATGTCTGTACAATGGGATATTATCCAGCCGTAAAAAGGAGCAATGTAGGGCCTCCCCCATGGCGGAGTGGTTAAGCACTGGGCTGTGAAGATGCCCGCAGCCTCTGCAGCACCAGTTCAATCCCTAGTCGCTGGCGAGTGTCCCACATGGCGTGCAGACCTCTCCTGCCGCCCGCGCTTCCCTCAGCAGTGTGGTTTGTCAGTCTGCCTGTTCTGCTCCCCGCTCTGGCTCTGGTGAATTCTCTCACCCTCCCGCGCTTCTGACTGTACCCAGTGCTTGTATAAATACATAAATCTTAAAAAAAAAAAAAGGAGCAATGTACTGACCCAGGCTAGGATGTGGAATGAACCTTGAAAACATTGTCCTAAGTGAAAGAAGCCAGACACCATGGATCACATTGTATACTTCTGCTCTATGAAATGTCCAGAATAGGCACATTTACACAGAAAGTAGGTTAGTGGTCTCCAGGGCCTGGGGACACAGGATCATATGAGGGTGCTAGGTAAAGGTATAAGGCTTCTTTTTGATGAAATGCTATAAAATTGCGGTCAATATATTGAAAACCAATCAATTGTACACTTTAAATGGTTGATTGTATGGAATGTGAATTGTATCTCAATAAGTTCTTAAAAAATGTCATCCCATAACCTCCATCCAAGGCTCTTTCATACTGTATAAAGTGTTCTGAATTTTGCAATCAAGTATTGTCATACCAGTTCCCTCAAATAGAGATGAAAAATTTTGGCTTTGGGCTAGGCTGCTCCTTTCCTGTGACTAGGCAAGATAAAACCCTGATGGGTGTGTCAAGGGAGAGTTTTGTGTGAGCAATTAACCTTATGTTTGTAGAGACTGTTGGACTACTGATTAAGCAGGATGAACTTTACTTAATACCCATGACTCTCCAATGTTATGTTTGAGTGAAAAGTCCTATCCATAAACACTATTAACCATTTTTGGAGGAGGAAGGTGCCAGAATGCAGGGCCACCCCTACATCACACCAGGCTCTGTTTACTTCTCTAGGTTTTCCTCTGCAGATGGGGTCTGGCCAGGACCAAGATGGGTGGGCTTTTGATGGAGTTCTTTCTAATATGGAGTAGGAAGGAAGGCCAGATGCTCAGGTTTTGGAGAGGATAGAGAAGGGAGAACATGAGTGGAGAAGAAGGAACAATGAGACAGAGGAGGGCAAAGGAGAGTGGGAGACAGTGGATGATTCTGAGAGTGGGGCAGAGAATCAGAAACTGGGATAGAGATTCAATGAGAGAAAGAGATAGATCCAGGGGGATAGTGGGAGGAAGTAAAAAAGTCAAGGGAGATTAAAAAATAACTGAAGGGGCCTCTCTGGTGGTGTAGGGGTTAAAGTCTCAGCGGTATCAAACTATCATCAGCCACTGCAGAATGAATTTGATCCCCAGCCAGGGAGGTGACCCACATGGTGCAGCAGACCTCTCCTGTCTCGCCTGCTGCTCCCCTCAGCAGTGTATTTCAGTAGATCTGCCTGTTCTGCTGTATCTCTGGTGAATTCTCTCACCTCTTGCACCTCTGGCCTAGACCCCAGTTCTTGTATGCGTAATAAAAATAAAATAAATCTTAAAAAAGTCATTGAATTATATACTTAAAATGGTTGAACTCTATTGTATGTAACTGTCACTCAAAAAAGCTGTTAAAAATATGAACATATCTAGTTGGCAGAAAAAAAAAATCCATGCAACCTTAGCTTATTTCAACCCAAGCTCTGGCAGTGGTCAGGGAAGGGGATAGGGATGGTGCAGCTTTATGGTGCGCGGCTAGCAAGTGACTCTCAAAGGAGAGAAATCAAGAGTGGAAGCCTCCAGATCAGACAGAGGCTCAATAAATAAGGCAAAACCAAACACAAATGAAAGAATGAATTGATAGGAAAAGAGAGCAAAGGAGATACAGGCAGAGAAGAGGAGCTAGCAGGGAAGTACAATGGGACAAGACAGAAATGTAGGCCCCACCCAGTAAACGAAGACCATCAAGTAGATGGCCAACTTTTACAGGCAACAGAGGAAGCAAGTCTGTTCCTGTAACATGTTGAAGATGGTGACCCAGGTTTTCTGAGTGAACAGGCCTGGCAAGTGGTTGCCTGGGGTCAACTGTGGCCTAAACTTCCTTGCCACATGGGGTTTGTGAGGCTGAATGCAAGTTCTTCCAGCAACTGGAGCTTCCTGGCATACAATCTGGGAACCTGAGCAAGAGAGAGAGGGTGTGTATTTAAGGGTGGAGGTGGGCATTTCTGCTAAAAATACTTTTCCTCCTTTTAGAAGGAAATGACTCATTTAAAAGAAATCTTTATCAGTAACAGGAATCCACAGATATATGGCTTCTGGGTGTTTTCAAGTCTAAAGGGGTTAGAGCGGGAGGAAGGAGGCCTGGAACCTGGCACAGAGCTGTGCTACATTCTACTGGGTCCTGCAGTTTCCCCAGGGGCTAGGGGTGTAGAGAATGAGGCTCCCTCTCAGGAGCCTGGAGAAGGTCAAAACTAGAGCTCAGGCATATGGCTCCACAGGGTAGCAGGATTTGTGACCTCGGGAGAGTGATGGAATTCTGTGGACCCTCGTTCCCTTCTGTGTGAAATGGGGGCAATTGTGGTATATTGCTCAGCTGTTATGAGGATCACATAAAACAGTTCATGTCAATCATTTTGTACACTGTAAGTGCTCAATAAATGTATTTATTTTGTTATGCAAAGAGGTAAGCTGCTGTATAGGGTGCGGTTGGGGTGGGTGGAGTACCTCCTTTTATGCAACAGTCCTGCACAGTCTCCAACTGAGTGTAGGATCCAAGAATGTCATGGTGAGTGGGAACCAGCAAACCAATTCTCCTCTTCTAGTGTTTTCCCAAAAGTACATTTGCTGACCCCCTCCCACCCATGCCATGGTGCTCAGCTATTTCCTCCTGGGCTTATGCCTTTCAGTAACTTGTTGGGCGTGGGGCAACTGTATCTTGCAACGTCTTGTCATGTCCGCGATCTTGGCATTCCCAGGACTAACAAGGAGCTGGAACCTAGAGAGTGTTCACTCGGGCTTGGGAGAAGGGCTGCATTTTATAGACACTTTGGTAGTTTCTGTACCTGCCATTATAGGTAATCTGGAATTGACTACCTGGCTTTATAAAGTTAAAAACTACTATTTAAAAAAATTATCATATATATATATTTTTTAAAGATTATAAGCACTGGGTACAGTCAGAAGCGCGGGAGGGTGAGAGGATTCACCAGAGCCAGAGCAGGGAACAGAACAGGCAGACTGACGAAATACACTGTTGAGGGGAGCAGCGGGTGGCAGGAGAGGTCTGCGCGCCATGTGGGACCCTCCTCTGGTGGTCAGGGAGCAGCCGGGGATCGAACCAGCGCCGCAGAGGCCGCGGGCAGCTTCGCAACCCAGCACTCAACTGCTGCGCCACCGGGGAGGCCCAATATATTTATATCATTTTGTAGTCCCCATACAATTCTCGCCACCAGTTCACCTGTGAACCATCACCATAGTCCCTTGTGCTCTCCCTTCCCCTGCCCTGATCCCTTTCCCCCCTTTCATCGTGTAATGTCTCTCCCTTATTCATGGGTGCCGGGTAGTTTTGTTTCATTATTATTGTTATTTTTTTTGTGATCCCTTAGTTGGTCCCCCTACATTCCTCCTATTAAGTGAAACCATTCATAAAAACTCCTATATTT